AGCCCTAAAAAGACGTTATCGCCATGCATTTATACTGTAATATCATTTCAGTCACTGATTTTTTTCACCATTCCATTTAAATTCGGTTATATTATATAACCCCCGATGTAACAATTATTGCGAATGCCTCAATGCGTGAATAATTAATTCATATATATATATATATATATCTATATATATATATATATATATATATATATATATATAAACATACATATATAGGCATATATATGTGTGAGTTGTGGGGGTGTATAATGTATATAACAACGATGTAAAACAAACAATATATAGAGAACTAGCGCGATGTACATAACTTAAAAATGAGGATGTTTATGGTATTGTGAAATTTATGACGCATAAATTGCTTATAGTGTGGAACATTACCAAGGATCGAGGATCCTGAATCAAATGTGACGGTCGTACTGTAAGACAAAGGTGTTAGCTGAGGGGCTTCTGAAATTTATCTAATTTAGATATATGTGAAGAAAAGGGATCAGGGGGTATCAGGTGACGTTAGATGCCTGCCTACAGGTAGAGGGCCATTCAAACCTGTGCTTGTGAATGAGAGTTGGATGCGTGCGCAGCAAACGATCCTGGGTTGTGCTGATTCATGCTACGTCGTGGGAAGAGACATAAACGATGGTGGTATTCTGTAGGCTATGATTGGGACATGGCATAAGCGCTATTGTGGTAGCCTATTCTAAATAATTATCTGACTAGAAGAATCATTAGACTGTAAAGAAAAGAGTACGATGTATTAGGTTCTTTGTAATAAGTGTCAAATCATCTTAACTAGTCAATCAGAACAGGGCCAGGAAAACGTATTGTCCACAAATGTTTGAATATGTTTTAACATTGTCGGTTTTTGTGTGTGTTTGTGTTTTTTTTTTTGTTTTTTGTTTTTGTTTTGTTTGTTTGTTTGTTTGCTCAGTTGGTTCATTCTGTTTTGAATATCAATCGTACAAAAGAAGCAAAACACCCATCAGCATATTGACGTGTAACCAGCCAGTACAAGTGTATTATGCCTTTTCTCTTCATTTCCATATATTTACGTCAAAAATGACTGATAATCTTCTCCGGGTCTACTCTCATCACGAGATTATCTATTATGCTTCCAATAGGACCATGCACGTATACGCATAAATGGCTGCTCATGAAGGCTCCTGCGTAACATATAACACTACGCAACGTGTCGGGTAAAATGTATGTGAAGGCTATGCGGTTTTGGTAATGAATGAAGTATTAAAGAGTTAATACCTCTTGTGGTTTTAATATAGTATCGCTTCTTCTCTCACTCCTGTTTCGGTAGTCCACTAACATTCATACTTTTATAGAATTTTGAAATGAACCATAAAATAAAATAAATAGAAATGATATTCAAATAAAAATATTATATATAAATAAATAAGTGTATATATATATATATATATATATATATATATATATATATATATATGTGTGTGTGTGTGT